CCACCTTGAGTACAGGGTCAGGAAGCGTTTCTGCCCGTACAGCTTCTGCAGTCACTGGTAGGTCACGTAATGCGTCACTCACAAGAAATCTAACGTCCGGTTCAAGCTCAACTGTGGGTATGATCTTGTCTTCTTTGTCTTGCTGGTGACAGTGCATACGCTTCGCCCATGGAAGCGCTTGTTTGGTGGCTAATCTCAAAATCATAGCTCAGCAGTAAGCGCCCAGCCTTGGAGACGGTTAGCCGTGTAGGCAGGTATGCCCTTCTTCGAGCCGAAGATGGCCAGTAATGCTTTGTGGTCACTCAGTAGCTTGAATCGGCAAAATATATAGCATCTTATGGAGTTTCTTCACTCCAAAGTATATGGCTAATGCTTCGTTTTCGATCTGGCTGTAGTTTTGTTCTGCTTTTGTAAAAGTCCTGGCCGTGTGAGTAATCGCTTTCTGGGATCCATCCGGGTACAAATGCGAAATAACTGCTCCGATTCCGTGATTCGATGCGTCTGTGGCGAGAATGATCTTCTGACTTGGATCACAATGAGTCAACAACAAGTCTGAAGACAGTAATGACTTGATTCGTTCAAAGGTGCGCTGGCACTCTAACGTCCAGTTCCAGGCGTGGTCTTTGGTCAAAAGCCTGTTCAACGGGGCACGCAGACGATGCAACTCAGGTAAAAATGTGCATTAGTGACTGATGAGACCACAGAAGGAAGGTAGCGTTTGAATATCTGCTGGTGGAGGCATCTTCCTTATGGCTTCGATGTTTACCGGATCTGGTCGATGGCTATTCTTTTCAAGGGCAAAATCAAGGTATTTGATGGTCGGAGTGAAGAAAGTACATCTGTCTTCACGAATGCGGAAACCGAGACTGGATGCGACCAAGCACGTCCTCCAAGCGGTCAAATAATTCTTCCGTTGTTCGACCCATAAGGATAATATCATCCAGGTAGGCAGCGGCTCCAGGAACTCCTGCCAACATGGTATCCATCAGCTTTTTAAAAAGGGATGGGGTCGTTTTTACGCCCAAAGGCAGGCGGTTGTACTGGTACAACCCAGGGTGCGTGTTGATCGTCAATAGCTCTTTCGATTCCTCTGCAACATCTACCTGAAGGTATGCATCAGACAGGTCAAGCTTGACAAAACACCTGCCACCATTCAATTTTGCGAAGATATCTCCCGGTAATGGTAATAGGTATTAGTGGGCGTCGAGCGCAGCGTTAAGACCAATTGAGAAAACTGCGCAGAAGCGTACTTTGCCATTCGCTTTTTTTACTGCGACAATGGACGCGGACCATGAGGCCTAGTTTACAGGTGTAATGACGCCAGTTCTTTCTAGTCGCTCTAGCTCTTACTCAACGATTGGCATCGCTACATACGGGACCGAACGTTTAGCTTTAAAGACTGGCTTGACTCCCGGTCGCATGGACAGCGTCGCTGTGAAATTGGTGCAATGGTCTAGGCCATCTTGAAACAGGGCAATTTTTGTTTCAGCAGACGTGTCATCTCTTCGACTGACTTTGTTAATGCGTCTGGATTCGCTCGAATTCTATTGCAAATCTGATTCAATGGAACGCCGAGAAGTCGCAACTTTTCAATCCAGCCTAGCCCAAGAAGGTTCAACTTGGGCCTATCTGACATATAAGCCGTCCCTGTTTCTTCCACACAGTTGAATTCCATTGTGCAAGTAATTGCTGCGATTACGTTGAGCACACCTCCGGATGCGTTGTGGGTTATACTGTTGGACTTGATCATTGTTGACTTCCTTAGGTGATTCCAAGTGTTCTTGGAAATGATTATAATGTCTGATGCCGTGTCAAATTGCAGCTTCGTTAGGATAACGTTGATTGACACGATGACGAATCGTCGTTGTGGCTTCGGTTCACATTGAGATGCGGCAATCATTGAAAGCGACTTTGCCTCATGCTTTCCAGAGTTCCTCGAAGGGTGGAACTTCGTGTTCTTCGACCGGGCCAGGCTGCAGAATTCTTTATGCACAACCTTAATGCACTTTTCGCAGATGTGACGTTTGAAAAGGCAGAAACGTGCAAAATGCCGTTCGCCGCACGGCCAACAGGCTGTAGGTGGCTTGTTCGAGGCCATTTTGGACGGTTTGCTTCAGCTAGCATTGCCAGCATTTTTCACAACGTGAACGGCATCGGATGGTGCAGTGCGACACTGTTCGATCAGGGCGGTGTGGTGCTTCAAAGTGAGCAATCGCTTGCATTCGCCAACAAAAGTCTAGAGTCAAATTTGGGTCTTGATCAAGCTTAACATTAGCAAGAATCCACATGCGAATCTCAGCATCACAAGGGGAGTGCAGAGCACTGAGGAAAATGAGACACTTAAATTGGTCGTCCGTCAAAGATCGTAGCCTGAAACCCTCACACTCGTGGTTACCCATGTCAGCTAGCTCGCCATAATGGTCCTGTTCCCGTGTAACAATGTTTAGGCATTGGTAACAAATGCAGAACAGAGAAGCTAACTCACCAAATATTTCACTAAGCTGTGACACCGCTTCGTCGAAAGTCAGGTCCTTTGGTTGTTTGGGCAAAATATGGTTGGTGAATCTTGAATGTCCGCTCGTACTGAGTTTGCGAAGCAACAAACGCACTTTCCAGGTATCGTCCTGACGACTGAAGTCTGTCCGGAACATATCTTACCAGCGTTTGAATCATGCCACAAAAGTGCGACCGGAATCTGCGTCGTAATTAAATTTACTGATCACATTAGTGAAAAGATTAACAGAATTCGCCGGCATATTCCGTGTTGCTGCTCCTGCAAACTCAGGCAATTCGTCAAATTTTCCAGCAGGCTCATTTGAGCTTCCTTTTGAGATTGTTGTTGTAAAAGCAGCTTCAGAAATCGTTCAACGGCAAAACTCACCTTTACAGTTTTCTCCCTCGCCATTTGTTAAACCTTACTTGCTGCAATTCCGAAACTTGCACTTAATCTATTCCGCACAACCACAAATTCAAACGAAGGAAAAAGTCAGAATGACGTTGCCCAAAATAACGTGTTAACCGCAGCCAAACAGGATCTGTACAAAGGTGGCAGACCTTGGTCATATTTATAGGTCGTCTCATGGCCTTCGACTTCTAGAGTTAGGTCAGATACCCAGATTAGTTGTTACCCATAGGTTTGCCCGATCTTCAGAAAGGTTGTTAGTCACGTGCTGGTTTTAGAACATTCCATATGGTTCCAAATCGATGCGATAATCGTTGACAATCGATTATCGCCGAAATAATGGATTTTCCTGGAAATTCCTAATTTCTGCCGGACACATGCTATCAATAAATTCAGGCTTATCACTTAGGTCGTACACGACGATCTCCATCCGTATGGACTGGGTGAGTTTCGCTAGCCACAGGGCTTATTATTGGTACGGCGTGCCTATCAATGAGACGAGTGAAACAATTCCAACAACAGAACCAGATCGCAAAGGAAGATCCTGACAAAATGATGTCCCGAGATCCAAACATGGCACGGTTCTACAGCTTTCCAAAGATACATAAAGACGGTGTAACACTAAGACCAATCGGATCCCTCCCAGGCACACACACACGTACAACCTAGCGAGAGTTTTGGAGACGCTTCAAGCACCTAACAATTGGATCACAGCACTCCATACATAGCACCCAGCAATGTCTGGAGAAGCTCAGACATGCGAGTAAATCATGACGACATGACCGCTCTCTTTACGTCTGTTAACTTACAGACCGCAGAGCAAGCAGTCACCAAAAGGCTGGACCAGGGCGAGAAAACAATCGGAAGGATCACGACCGAAAATATGTGCAAATTATCTGACCTCTGCCTCGCGACCTATATCGGTTTTCAGGGACTGATCTAAGAGTAGGTGAAAGGAGAACCGATGGGACCCTCTGTATCAGGGCGCATAGCAGAGATAGTAATACAGAAACTTGAGGAGAATGTGCTGTCCATAATCAACCCAAACTTGTGGATCCGATAGGTCGATAATACATTCGTGATACTGAAACGTAGTAAAGTAGTGGATACATGATTGGTGGCATCCGGTTCCGGATTTGCCTGTCACTGTGGCCTCCAAGGGGACAGCCACAGGACGCCTGCGCCTACAGAGGGACCCTGAGTGGCATGCGCTACCCCATGCACACACCCCATATCCAGTGTAATCCCGAAGGAATAAGACCGCGAGGCAAGTTAGTGGAAGCCACGTTTCATCAACGGAGCCAGCCAACACTCCTTCACAGACAAACGCCAGCATGCTGTAGTTGGGGAACCAAGCGCACACAAGGCGGTAGCTGGATCGCAGTCCGCTCCACACACAATCCATGTGCATAGAACCACTCTTTGAGCCTAACACGGTCACGAGGACCATGCACCCCGTCACCTCCAGTAACGACCAACTGTCTTTTGGAGCCAGTAGGGAGACGAGGTGGTGGGTAATAGACAGGTAGACACCTTGACAACATGCACATCAAGCGCAACCACACCGGGGATGTCAAGCAACAGTCAATCACTTGGAATGACGATAGCAAATAAAATAAATTGGATAAAGCATAGGGATATGCCGACATAACCCTTCGCAAAATTAGCATATAAAATAATTGGGTTATCAACATAACTGCGCTAAATTCAGGATGGCAGAAAAAGAGATAAAAGAACACTCGCATAAAATGGGAATAAATTTAAAGAAAATAACCAGGATTTGTTAAAGCGATATGTGTAAGTAAATAGAAGATTATTCAGATAAACGTTAAAATGAAGCAAGAAAGTAAGTATAAACAAACTACAGCAAACCGATCCCTTGAAATAAAGAAACTCAGCACGCGGTTAGTGAATCGAATGCAGCGTGCCTACAAACGCTGCGCCGGCTCTGCTTACGTTCGCTGCAGGACCCGTCGTAGTGTAGAAACTGGTCCCGAGTGACCTCGCTCGTGGCTCACTAGACCTCCCGGACTCAGGCACTCGCGACCGCATGTGCTACAGCCCACGCGCTTGACGTCCATCGGGTACACACCATCAGCGCCTGTCATTTTCGCACCTTCAGTTTCCGCTCTGCATGCAAGAGGGCTTTCACCTGCACCTCGGCAACTGCATTCGTGATCAGATCGCGCCACGCACGCCGATCAACCGCTTTTGATTCCCAGCACCTGAAATCAACATCAGAACGTGATAGGCTCACCTCGATCATGTCCTGGTTTGCCCACGTGCCGCTTCCCTGCACGCAGTTAGCCATAAACCAGCTGGTTCGGTATCCGGGTCGGATCCATACAGCGGATATGCCAGAGCCAGCTCAGGTTCCACAGCAGAATTATGCAACCACTGCGTCGGAGCACCTCCGTGTCTGCAACTCGGTCACTCCAGCCAATACGCAGAATACGGCGCAGACACTGTTGATGAAAGAGCTCCAGATAACGGACATCCTTCCGATAAAGCGTCCAGGTTTTGCTGCCGTATAGAAGAACGGACAACACCATAGACATATACCAACTGACTCGTCCCAACAGTGAGCTTGTGAATCCATACCGGTGGCACAATGGAAGACATTCATTTTAGGATGGAATCGGAGATCGAAAACCAGCTCACATTCTTGGATGTGTTGGGCACCAGAACGATTGATGGAGATTTGCAAACTGGTTTACAGGAAAGGAACACATATCGACTAGATTCTAGACTACTACAGTAATGACCCAAAATGTCATAAATAAGCTGTGTGCGAACTCCCGTAGAATTGAAGCAAATTGAATTGAGGCAAAGCGGAAAAACAGGTATATCTGATGAGATCATTTCTCCTAAATACATATCCACGTAACTTCGTCCGGCGATGTCGAAAAATACTACGACCTCAGCCTGCTGAAACGACAACCAAGAGAATCGTTCTACCTTATGTAAAGTACATCTCCGAGATGACAGCAAGATTAGTTAAACAGCCCGGTCTTACAGTGGCACGCAAACCAACTGCCACATTGAGGAGAACGTTGTCGGAACCCAAAGCTAGACCTGGAGCCCGAAAGACGAAATGTTTACAGGATACGGTGTCAAAATTGCGATACGAACTATGTGGATCAGACAGGAAAGCGAATGTCAACAAGAATACAAGAGCAAAAGAGAACTTGTAAGAACCACTACGCTCGCACCTTGGTTTCGTTGTACACGGACGGAGAAAGACATCGCTTAGATAGGAACAATACAGTGGTGCTAGCACAAGGAGAAATATAAAGAGAATTCCTCGACGCATGGTGCTCGACAGAACACTCGATAAACGTGAACGTCGAGATTGATCCAGTCGACCAAACGTTAAGATGGAGAGAACAAAAACAGCTTACAAACTGTCGTGGGCAGCAAAACGATCCATCAACAATACAACGACAACAACCAGGGTGAAACCATCACAAGAATAGTCCGTGTCTGTCAAAGATCTTAGGCAATCGAGTGAAAGTCACGGGGCACAGAACGAGGTCAACTCAAAAGTCTCTTGCTGGTCGATCACAAATAAACAAACAAATCAGCAGACTGCATTTAACCCAATAGCGCACTGAGAAAGTCACCTCGTTTGGTAATGAGACATTTGTAAATCAATTAGGAAGCTCCGCGAACAAGTAAAACGATAGGGGTTACTATCCTCATGAGTTTTCAGAAGGCCACAAATGTGAAGAAGTCGAGACTCCGAGAGCAGAGCTGTACCATACTTTTTGCATCTTAGCTTCTTCAGTTCACGGACCGCGGCACTACAAGACAGTGGACCTCCAGTGCGACTCACAACACGGTAGCGAACTTACAGCCCCAGAGTAGTCCAGTAATCGATGTTCCAAAGAAATAAGGTATTTATTACGATGCCCTTTAAGGTGAAGCAAATTGACAAAATATGTCGGTATTGTCTCCGTCAATCTATTAAGAGATATTCTTACACGGCTGAGCTAGTGGCATTGTACCAAGTAAGGAGGCTGCTGTGCATATCCAACCTGGACAGACCGGACTCTCAAGTTACCGCTTCATGCATCTACATTTTTAGCTGTATTTGCGATAGCAAATACGTTAGCCGAACTGAGAGGCTGTCAGCAAGGATTGCAGAGCCCGTCTCGTGTAACGTGGTTGCGAATGGTCCGAAGCTACTCATTACCTCGATTGATCTCCACGTACTTGATTGCTAGGTGTGCAAAAATCCACGTGGAAGATTTAAGGTAATTAACAAATAAAGTAATCCACGCCTACTTTAGTTCGTTGAAGCTTCAGCGTTTGAAACGAAGTTTGTGCAGACAGACGGATTTTGTGATCAGCCTCGCCTT